CAGAACCTGCAAGATGAACGAAAGAAGGATATGAATTAATCTGATCACTGGCTGGTGATATAATTTTCCAATAATTTCCCATATAAATTTCCAATAATTCATTAATAGATTTCAAGTGATTCTTATTCCAGCATAACATTCAATTCTAGCTTTTGTTCAGCTCACAGTTAACATAGTCATTGGATCGCAATTTTCTTTTTGTTGTAATGTGATTGATACGTTGTAATGATTTAATATAATCACATTTAATAATGTGATGATTTTGTTTTTGGCGTGATGATCAGGTCTAAATTTATGTTTCGAAGGAAAATTACCTTTGCATTGTGTATAAAGTAGACTGTGTGTCTACCTGGTAATAACAACCATGTCTCACTCACCTAAAGTCCTTGAGGGTAATATGTCCTCCTAAGGTCTGGTAGGTGCCTGAGTTCTGGTTGTCGGTCGTTGCTGAAGAGAGAGTTTATCCTTCCCTGCACACGTAAGTCACGAGAGGATCTCTGGGTGTAGCTCAGCTAGGCCCCAAAGTGCAATATCGCCCTCTAGAGGTGAGGGCGGCACCTGTCGTCTGCTAGCTCTGCTCAGCTGGATTTGTGCCCTACTACATGCATATACACTTGGCTGGTGTCCCTTGGAACTGAACTGAATGACTGCATGTTCACACCTCCTTCCTTGTCATAGAAATTGTCATCACCTTCTGAGCTGAGGACCGTTTGGAGGTTTTCAGATCCTCGATGGGTTGTTTCTTGGATCTGATGTATGGTCGATCTGCAATCTTCTGGTTGCCGTGAGGAGTGAAGACAAGCTCAGTTTTTTCCCCTTTCCATTCACAGCGAGTCATGCAGATTGCATGTACATGTTCTTCTTTGTGCAGTTCATAGATTGTTCTCTGAAAATTTTGAGTGTCTTTGTGCTTGTAGTACTTTCGAACTAAAGTGTATGCTTCATTTTCATCCAGTACTACAGTGCACTTTGATCGTCTTCTTTTCAGGTACTTTCCCCGTCTCATCACAGGTGAGATCTTCTGAGTAGCAAAGTATTGATGCATCAACGAGAAAAGCCAATTCCTCATCGCAACCTGAAGGCACAGAGTCATTCACCTTTGATCTTGGTAACAGCAACACTTTCGCAACACGTTTACTGTCCTTAAAGAAAGTATTCTGTTCATTGAAGATATGCCACTTCTGTTTGAACAGAATTGTCCAATCTGTCCATCACTTAAACTGGCATTTATACTCTGTAGGGCAGGTGGGTATGACTCTCTGGCCTCGTCTAAATTTCTGAAAAGAGAAAATGTTAAAATAAAAATCCATATGTTGGCAGAACAATTAAGATCTGTCTATACAAAGTTCTATTACTCAGACTGTTCTGCAAGCTTTTATCATGACTTATCGTCATTCTCAACTTTGACATCAAATAGAGAGTGAACGCAATTTCACTGCCATGCAATTGACTGGGATGCCTCCACAAGATGCTATATATCCCTGCGAGTGTATAAATCCCTGCAAGTGTATCAAGCCCTGCGAATGTATCAATCCATTAAAACCTAACAAAAAATCAAGTCGTGAAGAGTTTGCCTCCTCCAACCTGGGCAAATAAACCTTCAATCAACGGGAGTGGGCATGTGTCAACCTTCGCTGCTTGGTTAACCCTCATCTTGTAGTCTCCACATACTCAGATAGTTCCATCAGATTTTTTCCAGTGTTAGTGCTGCTTCAAAGCAATGAAGATAAACGCACTGATTGTGTGCTACTGATTTTGAAAAATCGCCATCCGTGACAGATGATTTCGAATGCTTTGCCCACGAATGTCCCTGGTGTATGTGAAAGCAACAAAGTGTAACCTTGTAACCAGGTAGTGATGTACAAAGTCCTTGATGAGCTGTAATACATGATTTCTCCTAAAATCACAGTCATACTGCTCATGCAAGTTAGGAAAAAGAATCCCATGGCTGAGACTTTGTATGATTTTACCACATAGTTGAACTCTAATGTTTTTTCCAATCGTGGGCTTGGTACCCTTTACACTCACTTTTTGTCAACGTGCAAGATGCGAAGGCTATCGGCTTCTCTTTCCCATTGTCCATTACATGGTTAATCACTGCTCCTATACCGTTGCTCGATGCATCACAGGCTAGCTTCAAATCCCGTCTCTTATCATAATAGACGAGAAGAGCATCACTAGTTAACATGCGCTTGCATTTCCCATACGCTTCCTGTTGAGCCTTCGACCACCCCCACTTATCTTTCTTCTGTAAAGCAACTTGTGTTTACTTCTGTCTTTTTTAGATCTTCTACATTACCCTTGGAAAATAGCTTTCCTCAAAAATCTTCCACATGGAAATAGAAATCATCCACATGACCTACATGAATGACATATTATCTGGAAAGAAATGTCTCCTCCCCTCCTTGATGATATCGCTAGCTGTTGCATTTACCCCCAGTTTTAAACACACCTTGGCATTGACCCCTTGCTTTTCACATGACGTAACTCAATACTTATGACAAATTCTCCTTTCAAGTTCAACTTGAACAGTTCACTGAAGTGTGATTCACTTCCTTTTGCAGCATTGTGTCTATACACTTGTCTGGCGTCCCTTGGAACTTAAGTAAAGGACTGAATGTTAACACCTCCTTCCTTGCCATAGAATTCATTAATTACTTTCTGAGCTGAGGACATTTTGGAGGTTTTAAGATTCTCAATGAGTTGTTTCTTGGATTTGATGTGTAGTCGATCTGCAATCTTTTGGTTGCCATGAGGAGTGAAGACAAGCTCAGTTTTTTCCCCTCTCCATTCATAGCGAATCATGCAGATTGCGTGTACATCTTCTTCTTTGTGCAGTTCATAGATTGTTCTCTGAAAGTTTGGAGTGTCTTTGTGCTTGTAGTACTTTCGAACTAAAGTGTATGCTTCATTTTCATCCAGTACTACAGTGCACTTTGATTGGCTACTTTTCAGGTACTTTCCCATCTCATCACAGGTGAGATCTTCTGAGTATTGAAGTTTTGAAGAATCAATGAGAAAAGCCAATTCCTCATCGCAACCTGAAGGCACAGAGTCATTCACCTTTGTTCTTGGGAAGAGCAACACTTTCGCGACACGTTTACTATCCTTGAAGAAAGTATTCTGTTCATTAAAGATATGCCACTTCTGTTTGAACAGAATCTTTCCAATCTGTCCATCACTTGAACTGGCATTTCTACTCTGTAGGGCAGGTGGGTATGACTCTCTGGCCTTGTCTAAATTTCTGAAAAGAGAAAATGTCAAATCAAATCAAATCATTTATTTCCAAATTCCAACATCAATTAAAAACAATGTGTAAAAAACAGTCAATGGGCAATAAAAACATTATAAAACTATGACATTTCAATCAAACGATTAAGAAGAAAAAAAGTATAGCAATCAAAGAGAAACAAGGTACAGACTACATTAACAACATAAGTGGATAATTGGAAAATGGTGAACACAATGAAAGCCAGGTTTTTGGCTTGTTAAAAATAAAAAGCCAAATGTTGGTAAAACAATGAATATTTTTCTATGCAAAGTTCAATTACTCAGACCATTCTGCAAGCTTTTATCATGGAGCCCCACAGAATACCCCCCCCCCTATTTTTTTGTATATCTTTGACTATGTATGTATGACACAAGTATATTTCTAGCCCCCATATAGTCCCTCCTCTTAGTTAATTAGGTACCCCCTCCTGCGAGAGTGGCCTCACCCACAACTAACCTAAACACACCAGCTGGGATACCAGGAGTGGCTTCTCACTTTGTTTTGCCATGCATCCTAGTCAACACCTTTCTTATTTTGTCTTCCTTTCATAGGTAAGAAAGAATCTTATATTATTCAATTGTGTTATATTCTTGTTGTTCATAATATGTGTATTTCTAAACTATTATAGCTTCACTATTCATATATCTTGTATTACTGTGTAAAAAGAGATATTAATGGTCTCTGGCTATGAGATGTTGGATTATATGACATGTGGACTATGGGTGGAAATATAAGAAATGCCATGTGGGAAGAGATGCCATGTGGGGAGAGATAATGTCATTGATGAACATAGTAATCACTTGTAGAAATGATAGGAAAGTATTATCGTGTGTGTGAGATTGATGATTATGTTGTTTGATTTAGACAACATTTTAAGTAAGTTTTGAGAAGAGAATATACTTTGTTACTGTCAGTATATTTGTCTTTTGCTCGATATTCATGTGTATATATACATTCTTAGTCAAGGACATGTGCCATTTACTATGCATTATGCCAAAGCACATTGTTATATATTCTTGTTTGGTTAGATACAGTTTTAATAGTGAAATGAGTGGTTCAAGTCCAGATTATCTTTAATTCTCAGTATTATGGTATGAGTGAGTGTGGACGCACCATGTGTATAATATTAGTGTGTTATTAGGATATGGCAGTGCGTTCAATGTGAACACAACTTCTTATCAGAGTTCTTAATCCCCTCTCCCCCCAAGCTTGACCATCCACTGCAATGCATTACACGCACACAGTGTAGATAGAGTATATGCTATACCCAAATGCTATGTTGAGAAGTGTTAGAGATAGAATGTGTTTGTTTTTGACCCATGCTGGAAATGGTATCTTAGGGAATGAAAGTTTGGTAGAGTCAGCAAAATGAGAAGACAAAGGATTTGAGTTGGGGAATACACTTGTTGAGAAACACATGGTCAAATTGTCTAATAGTTAGCTAGTGATGGATGGGTTGATGAAATATTGTAGTTGAAGACTTGCATAATCACTGTCTGGAATTCATTGTATTATATTGTTAGGAATGATAATTCAGGTTAAATGTTATTGGGAATTACTCTCTCTCTCTCTCTCTCTCTCTCTCTCTCTCTCTCTCTCTCTATATATATATATATATATATATATATATCTCCCTCTCTCTCTCTCTCCCCCTCTCTCTTTATATTCTCTCCCTCTCTTTCTCTCTTTCTCTCTCTCTCTCTCTCTCTCTCTCTCTGTATGGTTCACCCTTTCTCTTTCACTCTCACTCTGCTTTGTTTATAACCATGAAATGAATATACATGTATTTAGTAAAACTATTGGTTGTTGTTTAGAATTAGAATATGAACTGTATGTGAAGATGAGATTATACAGTAAGAGGAATTCGTAATATTGGTTGTAAGTTTGTTAGAGCTATTAGTACAGACTGCAGACTAAGACTATTTGCCAGTGCTGTGAATATTGTAAGGAGTTTAGGATATAAGTTGTTGAAGATGTATCTTTTCAAGCTCAGTAGTCTCGCTGAAAAAGATAGTATTAGATCAAAGTGATGCAGATGACTATTGGAAAATACATGAGCTATAGTTAAGGAAGAGTTATAAGTTTATTCAGTATTAATGTGAAGTCCTGAGACAAGAAGTAACTTGTGAATTTAGGGATTAGTGAAGGCTGAGAGTAGAATTACATTCTAAGGGTCTATGTGCACAAGGGATCCTCAGTCTTGGAGCGTAAAGAGTAGAAAGCTTATTAGGCAATAGTATAGGGATGATTATGCCAACATTCTTGTATTAGGTCTATATATGTGATTTCTTGAAAGAGACGCTAAGTGAAGAGTTATATGATTAGAAGCCAAAGTAGATTGACTGATACCGCAATGTTATAGACATTTGATAAGGGTTAAGTTATTTATTAGTAGCCAAGTTATGATTATGAGATCGATGAAGAGTTGCACTTTTACATAAAGCATGGAAGTAAGGATAGTTTCGTTTAGAGATAGTAGAGTAATGAAACTTTCCCAGATGATGTTCTTAGTGATATAGAAAGAGAACACCGAGAGCTAATGAATCAATGAATGCGAACAGGTAGATTTATTTGTGTTTAATACTTGAAGAGTATTGTTATGCCATTTGATCGTATATATGTTATTGTAAGAAAAGACTGTTATTGTAGAAGATTAAGTAATAAAGACTTTGTTTTGCCATGCATCCTAGTCAACACCTTTCTTATTTTGTCTTCCTTTAATAGGTATGCCCCCTCCCTCGGGGTGTGGGCGCTACAAATTTGGCGACCTTGCCAGGACGGCCATCGTCGAAGAGACACGAGGACGATGTGCTGTCCTATGACACGAACAGTTGGATCAATCGAAAGAGAAGAGCAGCGAGCAAACGATACAGGACCAGAAGACAGAGTGACGGAGAGAACCTGATTTGACAATGACATTGGCTCAGCATCACAGAAAATGGGACGAGCTACAGAGAAGAGAAAAGGCTACCGTGCAGTACGCAGCAGGGTGCTACAGCAAGGGGATAGGGCCCTGGTGCGAAGTCTGGCCCCTCCAGGTGGCCAAGGAAAGCTTCACCCTTACTGGGAGGAAATAGATGGCGGAGCAGTGAGTGGAGTCAAGGATGTCCAGGGGTTCTCCAAGCCGCCATCCTCAACAGCCAGCCCCCAGCACCTTTCCAGTACCGGTATACTCATGACCCACCCTTCTACCCCCATCAACGGCCATTACAGATGCAGACGCCAGTAGCCCACCAGCAACCAACTCACTACCAACAGCAGATGACAGAAGACCAGCTGAAATTTTCCTAGCAAGCGAGTCCATCATTGAGGAATGCCTCAAACTGATTTTCTTTTAATTTTTACATTAGATGCATCGTTATATAGAATCATGTGTGCTAGCTGTTTAATAAACCAGAAATACGAGTAATGAGAAGTACTAAGATGAAACAAGTTGTAAATCGTTTCATGAATTGTGGTGTCATATAAGGAAACAAGCGATGACACTCGATAGTGATCAATTGATCTTTGTGATAAAGTCTTCGGAATGAGTCTCGAGCTTTCCAAGAAACCTTCACCGTTTGTCAGGCGCGCCCGTAGAATGGGTTAATGTTTCGCAAAGTTTATTTGTATGAAAGGAAAAGCCACGTATTCTGATATGATATTATGAACTGTAATTCTGAGACTTTGAGTACTAGTATTAGGTTTCGCTATAAAGATTTGCAACACGTTAATGAACTCGATGTACTTCATGTATTCCACAGAAGAATTGGAGCACGATGATCTGTCAGCGTAGCGAGGACATAGACTCTCATGGACTTTGGTGATAAGTCTCACCTCCCTGATCTGTCCTAAGTTCATAACGACATTGAACGAGAACTATATGAACATTAGATTGTTGTGCTATATTAATGAATTGTTATAAATGTTTGAAAGTTGAAATGTCCAGGAGACATTTATTTTTGGAGGGGAAGGTGTGGAGCCCCACAGAATACCCCCCCCCTATTTTTTTGTATATCTTTGACTATGTATGTATGACACAAGTATATTTCTAGCCCCCATATAGTCCCTCCTCTTAGTTAATTAGGTACCCCCTCCTGCGAGAGTGGCCTCACCCACAACTAACCTAAACACACCAGCTGGGATACCAGGAGTGGCTTCTCACTTTGTTTTGCCATGCATCCTAGTCAACACCTTTCTTATTTTGTCTTCCTTTCATAGGTAAGAAAGAATCTTATATTATTCAATTGTGTTATATTCTTGTTGTTCATAATATGTGTATTTCTAAACTATTATAGCTTCACTATTCATATATCTTGTATTACTGTGTAAAAAGAGATATTAATGGTCTCTGGCTATGAGATGTTGGATTATATGACATGTGGACTATGGGTGGAAATATAAGAAATGCCATGTGGGAAGAGATGCCATGTGGGGAGAGATAATGTCATTGATGAACATAGTAATCACTTGTAGAAATGATAGGAAAGTATTATCGTGTGTGTGAGATTGATGATTATGTTGTTTGATTTAGACAACATTTTAAGTAAGTTTTGAGAAGAGAATATACTTTGTTACTGTCAGTATATTTGTCTTTTGCTCGATATTCATGTGTATATATACATTCTTAGTCAAGGACATGTGCCATTTACTATGCATTATGCCAAAGCACATTGTTATATATTCTTGTTTGGTTAGATACAGTTTTAATAGTGAAATGAGTGGTTCAAGTCCAGATTATCTTTAATTCTCAGTATTATGGTATGAGTGAGTGTGGACGCACCATGTGTATAATATTAGTGTGTTATTAGGATATGGCAGTGCGTTCAATGTGAACACAACTTCTTATCAGAGTTCTTAATCCCCTCTCCCCCCAAGCTTGACCATCCACTGCAATGCATTACACGCACACAGTGTAGATAGAGTATATGCTATACCCAAATGCTATGTTGAGAAGTGTTAGAGATAGAATGTGTTTGTTTTTGACCCATGCTGGAAATGGTATCTTAGGGAATGAAAGTTTGGTAGAGTCAGCAAAATGAGAAGACAAAGGATTTGAGTTGGGGAATACACTTGTTGAGAAACACATGGTCAAATTGTCTAATAGTTAGCTAGTGATGGATGGGTTGATGAAATATTGTAGTTGAAGACTTGCATAATCACTGTCTGGAATTCATTGTATTATATTGTTAGGAATGATAATTCAGGTTAAATGTTATTGGGAATTACTCTCTCTCTCTCTCTCTCTCTCTCTCTCTCTCTCTCTCTCTCTATATATATATATATATATATATATATATATATCTCCCTCTCTCTCTCTCTCCCCCTCTCTCTTTATATTCTCTCCCTCTCTTTCTCTCTTTCTCTCTCTCTCTCTCTCTCTCTCTCTCTGTATGGTTCACCCTTTCTCTTTCACTCTCACTCTGCTTTGTTTATAACCATGAAATGAATATACATGTATTTAGTAAAACTATTGGTTGTTGTTTAGAATTAGAATATGAACTGTATGTGAAGATGAGATTATACAGTAAGAGGAATTCGTAATATTGGTTGTAAGTTTGTTAGAGCTATTAGTACAGACTGCAGACTAAGACTATTTGCCAGTGCTGTGAATATTGTAAGGAGTTTAGGATATAAGTTGTTGAAGATGTATCTTTTCAAGCTCAGTAGTCTCGCTGAAAAAGATAGTATTAGATCAAAGTGATGCAGATGACTATTGGAAAATACATGAGCTATAGTTAAGGAAGAGTTATAAGTTTATTCAGTATTAATGTGAAGTCCTGAGACAAGAAGTAACTTGTGAATTTAGGGATTAGTGAAGGCTGAGAGTAGAATTACATTCTAAGGGTCTATGTGCACAAGGGATCCTCAGTCTTGGAGCGTAAAGAGTAGAAAGCTTATTAGGCAATAGTATAGGGATGATTATGCCAACATTCTTGTATTAGGTCTATATATGTGATTTCTTGAAAGAGACGCTAAGTGAAGAGTTATATGATTAGAAGCCAAAGTAGATTGACTGATACCGCAATGTTATAGACATTTGATAAGGGTTAAGTTATTTATTAGTAGCCAAGTTATGATTATGAGATCGATGAAGAGTTGCACTTTTACATAAAGCATGGAAGTAAGGATAGTTTCGTTTAGAGATAGTAGAGTAATGAAACTTTCCCAGATGATGTTCTTAGTGATATAGAAAGAGAACACCGAGAGCTAATGAATCAATGAATGCGAACAGGTAGATTTATTTGTGTTTAATACTTGAAGAGTATTGTTATGCCATTTGATCGTATATATGTTATTGTAAGAAAAGACTGTTATTGTAGAAGATTAAGTAATAAAGACTTTGTTTTGCCATGCATCCTAGTCAACACCTTTCTTATTTTGTCTTCCTTTAATAGGTATGCCCCCTCCCTCGGGGTGTGGGCGCTACAATCATGACTTATCGTCATTCTCAACTTTGCCATCAAATAGAGAGTGAAAGCAATTTCACTGCCATGCAATTGAATGGGATACCTCCACAAGATTGCTAAATATCCCTGCGAGTGTATCAATCTATTAAAACCTAACAAATAGTCAGGTCAATATATGGTTTGACCCCAAAAAAATTGCAACAAAAGGTTTTTCAACGGTTTCTAGTAGTATTTTTCCTCAGGAATAACATACTAAAAGTAGACCAAAATCGAAGCTTCAGAAAGCTTTTATTTTCAAGATGGCGTCCAAGATGGCCGCCGATACCTAAAAATGGCCATAAATCACTTATTTTCCATCCCAGAGACATAATTTTGGTGTCTATCCCATGGTTTCAGGGGTCAGAAAATCCATTGATTAAAACTCATCCTGCCTGAGAATACTGTGTCTGCATTGAATCTGACAACTGGATGGGCATTCTGCCCACATCGCTGTGGTGTGTATTATCATTAATTGACGGCCCTCCACCATAGCCATCAAAAAGAACATTTGCAGAACCAAATAGTGGGGGGGGGGGGGGGGGGGGGTTGTGAAATCAGCATATGATCGTTTTTTTCTGCCATAGCTGTCTCCTGTCTTCCATGGTATCCGATGCACCAAGGAACCACCATCAAGGACATACTGTACGTTCTGTGTTCTTATACGGCTTCACTCGACACTGATTAGTTATAGCATGAGCTAGCTGAGGCTTCTCAGCCTTCTGAAAGACATTCCTAGCCTCGAAAAGTGCAGGTAGGAACGAACTGAGCTCAAAGCTCATCACCTCTGCTATTTCAACTTCCCTTGTTTTTTTTTAAATACCTGGAACCCTTGAAACATCGAAGTAAAGCAGCATTTATGGTTTGTTCAGGTACAATTTTTACTTTCGAAATCTCTCCCAGAGTCGTAGCTTTGTCTTTCCTTTTGAACGAGACTATGAAAACAGCATATTGGAAGGCCGCTGAACTACAATGATTGATTTTTGTTTTAAATGATTTTTATTTCCTTCCTCATAATTTCACATAGCAAGAAATTCACATAACAAGAAATTATCAAGATAAGCAATATAAAACAAGATCTTTGATACAAGGCATTTCATAAGTTACATTAATCAATATACATTATGAGTTAATTTCCTGTTCATAAAGTGCGCCCTCTATTGAGAAATCTTAGTGGTTTTGTGGCCATTTGGACGCCATATTGGATTTTGTGGTTTCCTGAACCACTGCTTAACGTTCTAACTTATCCTAATGCATTCTATGACCCCGAAAACCATAGCATAGACACCCCAATTATGTCTCTCGGATAAATAATAAGTGACTCATGGCATTTTTTTTATGTTAGGGCAGCCATTTTGGACGCCATATTGGATTTCGTGGTTTCCTGAACCACTGCTTAACGTTCTAACTTATCCTAATGCATTCTATGTCTCGAAAACCATAGCATAGACACCCCAGTTATGTCTCTAGGATGGATAATAAGTGACTTATGGCCATTTTTATGTTATGGCGGCCATTTTGGACGCCATCTTGGATTGTAGGGTTTCCTAGACCATCACAAAAGATTCTTACTTGTCTCAATGGATTCTCTGACCCCTGAAACCATGGGATAGACACCAAAATTATGTCTCTGGGATGGATAATAAGTGATTTATGGCCATTTTTAGGGATCGGCGGCCATCTTGGACGCCATCTTGAAAATAACAGCTTTCTGAAGCTTCGATTTTGGTCTACTTTTAGTATGTTATTCCTGAGGTCAAATACTACTAGAAACCGTTGAAAAACCTTTCGTTGCAATTTTTTTGGGGTTGGGGTGTTTTTTACCATATATTGACCTGACTAAAATAATCAAGTCGTGAAGAGTTTGCCTCCTCTAACCTGGGCAAATAAGTCGTCAATCAACAGGAGTGGGTATGTGTCAACCTTCACTGTTGGTTAACCCTCATCTTGTAGTCTCCACATACTCCGATAGTTCCATCAGATTTTTTCCAGTGTTAGTGCTGCTTCAAGGCGATGAAGATGAAGATTGTATGCTACTGATTTTGAAAAATCGCCATTCGTGACAGATGATTTTGAATGCTTTGCCCACGAATGTCCCTGGTATACGTGAAAGCAACAAAGTGTAACCTTGTAATCAGGTAGTGATGTACAAAGTTCTTGACAAGCTGTAATACATGATTTCTCCTGAAATCGCAGTCATAGACATGCTCATGCAAGTTAGGAAAAAGACTCCCATGGTTGAGACTTTGTATGATTTTACCACACAGTTGGTCTCTAATGTTTTGTCCAATCGTGGGCTTCGTACCCTATACACCCACTCTTTGTCAATGTGCGAGATGTGAAGGCTATCGGCTTCTCTTTCCCATTGTCCATCACATGGTTAATCACTGCTCCTATACCGTAGCTCAATGCATCACAGGCTAGCTTCAAATCGCATCTGTTATCATTATGGACAAGAAGAGCATCACTAGTTGACATGCACTTGCATTTCCCATATTCTTCCTGTTGAGCTTTTGACCATCCCCACTTCTCTTCCTTTTGTATAGCAACTTGTGTAGCGGTGTCAACACCGTCAAGAGATCGGTAGAAATCGCACATGGAACTGAACCATTTCCCAGAAATGCTCCTAGCTTGGTCACATTCTTCCGCGCAGGAAACAGGAAACCAAATGCAGACAAGGATTAAGAGTCGAGAACGGTCCAACGAGTCGTCTTCTTTTTCTAGAGTCCGCCGAGGCTCCGGGGACTTGTTTAGCGACAGGTCCGCTCCGAAGATTCAAATACATGGTTGACTGGTTATTCCTCGTGGCCATAATGATTACTGTGTATTATAAGAGCTCCCACGTACACATATCCTTACGCTTCAGTTGCCATATTCAATCAAAATTATTGCTCTAAGCTACTGATTTTGAAAAATCGCCATCCGTGACAGATGATTTCTAATACTTTGCCCACGAATGTCCCTGGTGTATGTAAAAGTAACAAAAGTGTAACCTATAAGCTTGTAATCGGGTAGTGATGTACAAAGTCCTTGACAAGCTGTTATACATGATTTCTACTAAAATCACAGTCATAGACATGCTCATGCAAGATAGGAAAAAGAATCCCATGGTTAAGACTTTGCATGATTTTACCACACAGTTGGTCTCTAATGTTTTGTCCAATCGTGGGCTTGGTACCCTATACACCCACTCTTTGTCAATGTGCGAGATGGGCTTCTCTTTCCCATTGTCCATTACATGGCTAATCACTGCTCCCATACCGTTACTCGATGCATCACAGGCTAGCTTCAAATCGCATCTGTTATATCATAATAGACCAGAAGAGCATGACTAGTTAACATGCGCTTGCATTTCCCATACGCTTTCTGTTGAGCCTTCAACCGCCCCATTTCTCTTCCTTCTGAAGCAACTTGTGTAGCGGTGCGTAGAACTAAACCATTCCAAGAAATGATCGTAGCTTGGCCACATGTGGAGTTTGGCCGTCCCAACCACAGTGGCCTTTTCTGTGTATGCCAAAAGCCTTCGTAAGTCGGCCGTGCTCGGCAGATCTCCTACATTAAAGAAGACCCTCTCTTTGAGGGCTTGGCGTGCAGGGATAGCAATGAAGTTATTGGCATCCTGCTTTCTGCGGGAATTCCCCAACCGGATGTATTGCACCCTCTTGATTTGGCAACACTTGATGATGCTATGCCCTATGTGTATCCCAAGGGATTTGCTTTTTGGTAGTCTTATGCCACTCATTGTTTGCTCTTGTTCTTGGTGTTTC